TTTTTTACCTTATTTTCATTTTTATGAAAAATAAGAGCCACATATGAGGATATTCGTTAAAATTTTTAAACAGTAGCAGCATAATGTCCTCGTAAGTGGATATCAGGCCCTTGTAGAGCAAAATTGAGTATTTTGGTCTAAATAACCCAAAATGTGATGTCCACATATGTGGACGCCAGGTACTAGGAGGTTAAACCTGTAATGGCTCGTTTGGTAGAAAGGCAGAAAAATGACTGATTCATACCTGAGTGAGCTATAAGCTTGTTACACTTGAACCTAAATTCCCAAATGATCTGTTTTTTCAGCCCAAGCTGTTGGTTACAGCCTCATTTGGCATCGAGCCAGGCAGAAGAGTGGAGTACATCCCTCTGGTGAAGAAGGCCCTGGAGATGAGCTCTCACAGGCCCACGAAAGTCCTCATCTACAACAGGCCGAACATGGTAAAAACCATAGCAAAAATGTTATTTTCCTTTTCCACAGTAAGCAGCAGCACACTTAATGACTCATTGAAATCATCGAAGGTGTCGGTCGGAGGCAGGGATTTTTGTGGAGCCTGCACTTCTCGGCTGTTGCCAGGTTCGAACTCAAAGGTATTTCCGTGCTGGCTTCAGCCTGGAGCCATTTTCAGCTGCTGCTCGGTGACGGCGAGCAGATGTTTGGTTCTGCTTCACTTAAACACTGCTGAATGTTATGTTTGGTGAACTTAACATTTCCTCTAACGGAGATTGCGGAGTATTGTCGTTTCTTTACTCGAAATGAATTGCTACCATCCGTGCCTCTGTTTGAGCTACTGCTCTCTAGCCCTGTGGTGAAATAAAATGAACATTGCACAGTTTATTTTATCTTGTTGCGCCTGTCTGGTCTTATCTGTCAGGAAAGGATCCGGTGAATTAAGAGCGCCCGTTTGGATTTTTGGGAGATTATATACATGTCGGACACAGGGAATGTGTATACAAGAAATTCACGGGCAGCTCAGTGCCATAAAAATCTGTGAACCACTACTTTAGATGGTTGCAGCTGCTTTGCAAATTATTGCATTCGGTAAGCTGGAGGTAGCTGTTCGGTAAGCGTTGTTAAATCAGCCAAGATGGTGCTCTGTCTGTGCTTTCAGTGAAGTGAGTAAAAAGTAATGCGCTTAGGAGAGCTAAAATGTCTGTGGGAGATGTGCCTTTGCCTCAAGAGTCTGAGTGATATTGATGATGTCTTCATCTTGACACTCTTTTATGGAAGCCAAGGGAGGGGAGGGGAATAAAAAGATTTGAGGATTTCTTTATCCCTCCAAAAGTGATTAAATGTTAATGGCAGTATCAAAGAGACGTCTGTGTTTGAAATGAGAAGAAATGTCAGCGGCAGCAGATGTAAGGGGCAATAATCTATGACCTGAAATGATTGCTGCTTGCCAGATTGCGATGACAGATGGGAGATGGAACGTAATATAAATAAAGGAATATATATTTACTCCGCATGTGAGACTGACTCACTTCATAGGCAAGCAAGTAAAGCAAGATGGTCAAAACCATCGGAGTCAGTTGAATTGATCCTCATAGTTCACACTCCGAGAGCTCATCTATGTGACACTTTGTGACAAATAAATAACTGGGAGATATGATCGGCTGCTTCGCGAGTGACTGTCTCATCCTGCGGCGATCGTAAAACGAGTCATTAGCAGCGGCTGAACTTCCACAGTGAGCAGGAGGAGGCTGTCGCCGAGCAAATGAATCGCGTTATCTTCGCAGATGTGAAAGAATCAAAATAAATGGCAAAATATGTTTGGCTGCATGCAGCATGCAGTTAGATCCATAAATGCTTGGATGACGGCACAGTTTTTGTGTTTTCGCCTCTTTAGAATGCTACTGTGGATTTTAAGTCGAACAGTCGTGACATGATTTGAAGTGCAGTTAATCAGCTTGAATTCAAGAGTTGGGTTAAACGTTGAGGGATTACAGCCATTTTTAACACAGTTCCCCTTTTTCAGAGTGCATTCAGATCCATGCGATTTATACCTGGGTGTGCTGCCAGGTACGTTAGATCTGGTGAAGACTGTATATCATCTCTATTTTTCTTTATATTTCAGGAAAGGGTATCGATGAGTCGCGAGTTGAGCCTGGACTGGGATGAAGAGATGGCCTCTGCTAGGCCACATGACTGTGCCTCTTTGCCCTCCAACCATCCGTTGTATGTACTCTATACATCTGGGACCACTGGGACGCCAAAGGTACTGGCAGCTATAACCATACACTCACATGCAGATGAGTTACAGGGTTTACTTTTAGCTGTGTTTGACTAGACGCTGCTCATTCTGTATGCAGCAGCTGTGTGACTCATCTGATCTTTGAGCCTGCAAAACAGTCCAGGCACAATCTAAACACCCCCAACATGACATAAATAAGACAGAAGTTTTCCAGAGTGCGAGCTGAACCTCTTGCAGGAGGAATTACCTGCAGGCAATTTCAAATGGAGGGGAAAAAAAGCCCTGGCTCTTTTCAAATAGCATCATTTTGTCTTTGACCAACAGATGATATAAAATATCCTCCTGCTGGCTAGTTCCTGGGCTTAATAGTGCGGTTCTTGCCAGTTTTTTTTTTTTTTCCTGTGCAATTTCCCATGAATTTCTCAGTTATTGCTGTAGGGAGACCATAACTTTGAGAAGGCACACTCAATAGCTGAGGATGTTAGGACACACTATTTTGCTCAGGAATGTTTAGACAGCGCTATTAACTAATAAAAGGTGGGTGCCGGTTTGAGACGCAGTCATCTGGAAACAAGATGCCGTCCCCTTTGGTAAGGCAGCGCCAAGTGGCTGGTTTAAAATTTGCTTAGTGCAGTACCTGCCACCGGTCTTAATGTTTTTCTTATCTCCCCCCTCCCAGGGTGTTGTGCGAGACACTGCAGGCTATGCTGTGATGCTGAAATGGACCATGTCAAATATTTATGGACTCAGTCCCGGAGAAGTAAGACAATAAAGCATCCGCTTCTGAGGTGGTGCCATACTTAAGAACAAAGAGCATACAGAGACAGACTGCTCTCTGCTTGAAAGGACCTCTGACTACCATTTAAACATACAATACACAATAATCCTACACTCAACTTGCGGTATTTCATTTTCACTATACAACTGGCTGTTCTGTTTACATTTATTATGCCTTTAAGTAAAATGAGTTTTTACTTAATTTTTCATGCATTTTTGTTGTGACAACTCGGTACATTGATCCCTTTTTGGCAGGTTTGGTGGGCAGCTTCAGACCTAGGCTGGGTGGTTGGCCATTCTTATATCTGCTATGGTCCTTTGCTACACGGTAACGGCACTGTTCTCTATGAGGTACGTACCTCTGAGTTTAATATCTCAAACTAACTACTGCGGTGTTAGATTACAACAGGAAGCGCCAGAATATGTGCAATAAAACCTTAAATGAACAATGTTCAGAGCTAAATAAGTTACACCTTTGTTGGCTCGACAAACTGAAGCCAGCCACTGTTGGTTAAAGACTCCAGTTTATGTGGAGTGAAACTGAAGAAGTTCAAGATGTGGTGAAGTAGCTGCTGCAGAGAAGCTGCAGCTCTGACTGTGCCAGACTTTTGCTCCTTTTATTGTTTGGTTATTGGTACCAGTCAGTTGAACACCAGCACATAGTCTACACCTTCCAACCCGGGTATTAAAGAGTTTTTAGTTTGCAGGATGCATTTGTTGGACTTGAGTCTTTAAATTTCCTGTGTTGAAGTTGTGGGAGAGCAGGTTGTCAATGCTCGTGTTTATGCCATCATTAATTGAAGCAGCCAATGAAAGGGCTGGGCAAGTTATCACATCTTAGAATTTTTCCTTCCGGCATTTATAGAAAAACAAGATATTGGGGATAAAAGGATTTACTCTTTTGCATTTATTTTTTTATTTTTTCCCATGCACACTCCTGTACTTTATAGCAGGCTGTGTTTGCACTTTCCTAAAACCTCAAACGCAGTCAGTTTATTTCGGTTTGAGACAAGAGAACTAAACAAGAGCCTTGAGCCAACAAGATCTTTCTGGAGGAAATGCACGTCGCATAGTTTCTGTCTAAGAATCATTAATGGTTGTCTGTGACTTTATTTGTCTCCAGATCTCACCCGGTCTGCTTTTGGCGCAATATGACAAAAAGCTCTGGCTTTGGCTCTCCATCTTCAGCCTCTTCTGCACCCACAGGTTTTCTGCAGTTTAGACAGGCCAGCATGAACTAACAGTTGCCTTTGCACGACACGCTATGCGGTCAGAAACACACTCCTTAGTTCGGGCCCAACTCCTGTGTGACCCACTGTCCACTACCTTTATTTTTTTTCATGTATTCTTTTGGTTCAAGGAAATCTCCTGTAAATGGAGAGGTTTTCAAGTTCAATAACAACAAAATGTGCTAACCATATTGATTGTGGTTAATATTTTTGCTGTAATTGAGCTACATTACCAAAACCAAGCTCAATAACACCACTAGATCGCAAGAAACTGCAAAGCAGATAAGCCATCCTTGTCTTCTTGGTCTTAAATTTTTGCAAAACATCTTTTCATTATAGAGAAAATGGGAGATAAGGTTGCAGTGGGATGGACTGGTCATGGAAAAATGGGAACTTTAATAATATAATTATAACCTTGACGAAATGGCTCACACAGAGGGTTTTTATTAACGTATAGCAATTTGTAATTAGTGTTGGCTTTATGATCAGTGTAATATCATATGATTTGTGCATTTCTTTTTATCTTATTTCATGTGTTCTTGCTTAGCTCCTAAAACAGAGGATCTGTTGTATTAGTGCTTCATTATGGGCTTCTTTGGACTCCATGCATGCATCATGTGAATGTCACAAGCAAGCATCACATGGAGTTCTGTTTACATAGAGTGCATTGATGACTGCGCTTTTTTCCAGGCCCAGATTGTCCCTAAAATCAATTCCTGAGATTCTGCACTTTTCTTTGGCTTGAAATCTGAAGTTGTTTCTTTTTATACTTCAGCAAAGGATCAAGAAGGACGTGCGTCTTTCAGTGTAGTTCTTATGTATAGGGCCACCAATTACATTTGCACTCTGATATTCCCTCACCAGTTTGATGCAGCAGCGCTATTGGACGATGAATTAATTGGCCGTTCCTTAAATCAGTGTTTGACTTCGGTCACGGTGGTTGCTCCACATGGTTCTTGTTTCTAGCAGCCCATCTATCTTCAAGCCCTTTATTTGGAGTGAAAATGACAGCCAGGACTCACTGCTCCTTTTATCCATTCTTATTCTTCCGCAGTTGTCTTCTCACTGTTGAGCTCACTTAGTTGAATACCAGGGAGAAAATAAAAAAGAGTGGAAATTGCTGCTGGAGACCTTTGCCTGCAGGCTTCTTGTGTCTTTATCTTTTATTCTAGACAGACAGTACTTCTGTAGTGCAACTGTGTTTTCATGCCCATGTGCCTGGATAGTCAATCTTCCTGTGTGCCTTGTTATTTTAAACAGCTGTTGTATAAATATTCATGTTTTGGAGTTTGCACAAATATTCCTGGAATGGTTTTAGGCAATAACAATAATCTGTGTAATCTCTGGTGTTTACTTATCATTATTCAAATTCCGATGATACACACGCCTTAATTAAGCTGTAAAGTAACAAGTTGTTGCTGCACTGTGTGATTCCAGGGAAAACCTGTAGGGACTCCAGACTCTGGGGCCTTCTTCCGTGTCTTGTCTGAACATGGAGTCTCTTCAATGTTCACAGCGCCCACTGCTATGCGTGCTATCCGCCAGCAGGACCCCCAAGCTACAATTGGAAAAAAATATCCACTGACCAGGTACAGAGCAACAAAATAAATGTTTTTGAATCAGTGGGGATTGGTGCTAAAGCAACCAATGGATGAATATGGAATTGAGATAAAATTCCTTTCTTCCTTCTTATGTGAGAATTTATTGTTTCTCTCATGTGTATTTGCAAAACAAAGCAAAGCAGCGTAGCGATGTTACTGCGTGACTGCAGTTATTTCTGACATGTTATACACCGTCTGATACAAAAGACTGTATGCCGAAGATGGTAGTAGGTTTTTATGGACTCATTTTGAAAATGTAAAGTTTTTTTTGGTTGTTGTTTGTTTGTTTTTGAGACATAGCGATCATATCCAGGTACTCTGGCACAATCGAGAGACATGGTTAGGTTGACTGGCAGGACTAAATTGGGGAGAGGCGAGAATGTGAGAGGGAAAGACTGTCAGTACATATCTAGTCCTGTAACAGACCGGCGACCTGTCCGGGCTGTACTTGCCTTTTGTCTCATGACCTATAATAGCTGTTTGAGGACCTGCAGTTTGCAACATTTCTCAGTTGGTGTAATTTCACAGGATGTGAAACGCTGTGAAATAACCATGTTACAGCAAGCAAATGAGAAAAACCTCATTTAATCCAATGAAGGTAATTTCACAAAACGAAATGGCCTAAAAAGGTTAATAAATGCACTAAAGGAAGAGTTAAGTTGAATGTGAAGAGCTCAATAACTTTTCAGCCTTGGAGGTTTCAACTTGATTGTGATTGTAGTTATTTTTCATTTTCAACCCTAATGTTGATCCAAAACCTTAAGCCTAAGAACCCCATGCAAAGGTTTTTGGGGATTCTTTCTTTTAGCGTAGCCTCAGCCTGTAAGACTATGATCTTTGCCCTTATTATGATGGCTACATGGACTGAAACTGAGAGATAATTGCATATTATCTTGGGACTCTGACGAACCTGCTGGGTGAGAGAACAGCAGCTATATCCATCAGCTGTCAGTGGCAGAGGACTTTGAAACGCCAGGAGTGACTTGTTAAAGCATCTCATGGCTGACGGTTGTCCGCGCAGTCTCTCGTTAGTCTCTGGCCATCTGCTGATGCACAGCCCTCTCCCACCTCTGTTGCTCACAGTCTGTACCCTCAACTCGACCCGCTCGAGTGTTAATCTTGATAGATAACAAGCAACAGCATCTCACTGACTGCAGCCCACCTGTGTTAAATCACTCTGCGTGATCAGGTGAAGGTCGTCTGTAGCTCCGAGTTAAAAACAAACATTTTTCATGGTATTAGTTTAACTTGGATTAAATGCTTCATGAGATTTTGTTAATTCTTTGGCACAGAGCGTAAAAATGTACGGGGGGGTTTGTGTCAGTGTGTTCCGCAGTCTGAAAACGCCACTTAGCACACAATCATAAAGCAATTCTAAGTGGGAATGACCTATGGCCCTAGTGAATCATTCAGTAACTCTGGCATTGTGTGCTGAATCGACGATCTCCTGTTGTTCCCTGTGCTGAATGCATAGCACCTTTTTTTAAAAGCTCTTTCTGCAGTCAGAGATGATTTTTCTGCTGTATTTTTTATTTTTTTTGCTTCACATATTGTTGAAATCTCTCCTCTCAGCTGTGACCCTGCCACAATCAGTCATTTAGGCAACTGTTCCCGTGTACACTTCCTTGTTCTTAATGCATTTTTTCCCCTTGGCAGAAGCGCATTTGTAAAAGATTGCTGCAATTCCCGTTGGTTTTGAGCAAGACAATTTGCCATCATACACATGCTGCATTATAAAAGCAGCATTAAAACAGGGTTTCTTTGTGGTGCAGTCATTGTTCCAAAAAAGAGCTTTCATTCCAATCAAATCTGGCTTTTTGATGCTAATACAGTGAATTCAAAATGCTTTAAGTGTAGAAGGCTGTTAATCACAGTTTACGTGTCGGTTCAAATCTGTCTTGAGTGCTTAATTTGCTACACAAAAAGAAGGAAAGCTATTTTTTCACTTATCGTCAGTCATTATAAACACAATCCTGCATATAAACAGTCAGAATCTGTAGGGAAGATTTTTGATACCAAGATGATCTTTTGTAATCTGGGTAATGATCACAAAACATTTGAGGAAATCGCAGCTTCTTGAAATTTGTCAGCAGTTGTAAACAGTGTTCAGGCAGTCTTTAATCAGCTATCTGTTATTCATTATCTGGTTGTCTTGGCTCTACTAGAAGCCCTGAAATATTGGCTGCTGTCTCTGAAATCATTAAACTATAATCCATGAGTTCCCAGATTGATTTTTCTAGGCTTACATGCATATATCATAATAGTCTGTGTATGTTGTCCCATCAAAATGCCTGTCTCGATGCCTGGGACGGGCTTTGTGATGTATTTTTTTTTGAGCCGTGTTGTTGTGGTTGAAATCTAATCATTTATTTCTGTTAGCTTAGTATTTATATTTGGCTTCATGTAGCTTGTGTTTTTTTGTTTGTTCTTTTGGGTTCCTCATGTCCTTTTGTATTATGCTTCAGTCTGTTCTTTGAATTTTTATTCTAGTGTATTTTCAATGTAAGGTTGTGCTTTTATTCTGCTTTATTTATTTTCATCATTACTTCCAGCAAGGACGTCATATTTCTGGTAGCAGTTGTGTGCCTGTATGTCATCACTGTGTCAGTAAATAAGATGGCTCGAAAAGTTTTGTTTTTAATGATTAAACTTTACGGGGGTGTAGAGTGAGGTCATGTTAACAATCTGTTAAAATTTGGCTTGCATCGACCAAAGTGTTCAAGGTCAACTTAATGATTTATTTGTTAAAATGGACAGAAAGCCATATAACTTGGAAACTAGGATTCTTGTCTTGTCTTTATTCTAGTAGAATAAAGATTAAGATTATGAAAGATTATTATGGCTCATTTTTTATTTTATTTTAAATTTATAGCAAATTTTTTTTTCTTTTTTTCTTTTTTTTTCTTGTTTGTTTTTTGGGATCCTGCTCAACTTTTCAGTTCTTATATTTGAATTTGGATTTCTGTTAATATCTTCTTGTTAGTCTCTTGTGACCTGATTTCTGTTTAGTTTGTCTTTTTAGAGAATAGTGCAGTTCTTCGTGTTTGGGGTTAGGATTGGTCTCCTTTATTTCCTGTTTCACTTTGTAGGTTTGTTCCATTTTAGTTTTACTTTCCAATTTCAGTGATTTCTTGCTTGTGTTCACCTGCTGTTCGTTGTGTGGGATTTAACCTCCTTGTGTTCAAATTTGTGTCTGTGTATATAAATAGTCCTTTCATTGCATTGTTCAGAGTTATGTTGTACTAGTATGCTGTATATCTCTGGTCCAACAGTCCTCTTGTTTCTGTTTCATAGTACTTTTTGAATGTTTGGATTATTGTTGATCATATCTTCATGAATTCAAAGATTTTGGACTGGGCGTCTTTTGGGTTATCAGCAAAAAATGTTGATTTTATGCCTCCTGCATCGTGAACTCAGGTCCTTAAAAACAAACAATAATCATAATAGCAGATGATGAAAGCCCCGTCCTGTGAAATACAGAAGGATATGTCAGTGGTAACTTTAGGTTTAAATGTTTTTTTTAATGGAAGTAATAAAACCTTTCAGAAAACTCATGTAACTTTGTTACAAATGCATAGCTTCATGCCAGAGAAACCTCAAATACCCCTCGTACATCTGTGGATAATTGACTCTGAGATGCACAAGCACACCTCGTCAATGCGCTTGAGAAATATCATTTGTTACCATAGACGTGAAAAATGCATTGAAACTCTGTCTACAAGGGTGTCTGAAGCTGTAATGGCAGCAGCGCTCTCTATAAATGTAGTATGAAAAAAGGAGCTGCCTCTTTGTCCCCAGTATCTTAACAGGAGAAAACTAAGTCATTGCTGAGAGCCTCACTGTCCAAAAGTGACAAAGTCCACTATCCATTGGATAGTGCTTTTTAGTACATAGTAAAATCTGGTGTTTTTTAAAGGTGGTAGTGTTTACAGTGTGTTTGTCTTTTATTAAAACAGATCAGTGGTTCCTAACATTTTTTTATCTAATGCTTCATCAAAACTTCATGTTCCAATGTGTTCAATTCAGCCAATTTTACATTTGATGTTGACTATTTTTCCTTTTAGGAATAATTTTAATTAACTATTTAATTCAGCCAATAGTTTAATTTGTTTACCTACTCTTTTGGCCAAAAATATTAAATAAAAAAAATACACCTGCTAACTGTGCTTTTAGCTATTAATTGGCTTTTTTTACATACAGAGCTTTAACTAGACATTTCAGGTGTTCTTTCAGTATATTTCTAACAATTTAATTTGTTAATTTTACATTGTTACCCAACAGTAACAGCTGCTCATCAGAGCTAAAGCTAATTATTAGTTTTTTGCTTTATTGGTTTTAACTATTGTGTATTAAATTTAACTAACATTTTCTTTTGTTTATTTGTTATTTAGACCAACTCTTAACTGCTAGCCATATTTTTAATTTTTTTAATTTTTTTTTTAAGAGCTGAAATAACTATCTGAAAACTATTCCCAGGTGGGTAATTGAATTTGTTCATCCAATAGGCAGTATTGAATGATGAGACCATAACAAGAGGCCAAACTTGCAGTAGCAAATCGACAAACACTGCAAAAGCATAGAAAATATGAGGGGAAAGGGTTAAATAAAACACAACTGGAGTAGAAAAAATGTCTATTTGCTTCTACAATTAAATTTCAGCTTTCATTATTTTAGATTGATACTTAAGCAGTACTATCATAGGGCAGTTCAAATTTATTTATATAACACCGAATCAGAACTACAGTCACGTAGTGTAATAGCTCAGGGTCACCTGCCTTAATGCTCAGCTTTCAGTTTAATTATAACATGATGCGGACACACTGCTGCATTGTTCAGTGTCAGCTCTGCACGTTAACATGTTCACAAAACAGAACACACACTTCAGGTGTATTTTCCTCTGATTAACTGTTTCTCATATCACATAATAAGCTTGGAGCATATTTGCGCTTTGTAAACTAAAACTCAACCTTGACAACAAAGAATGTTTC